ATATATATATATTGAATAATGTATATATTAAATGTCCCGATTTTAGATATGCATGCTATCTGAATAGTTTATTAAATTTAATAGCAGTTTTCGATCCACAGAAATTTGTGATTATAATTTTGCTTGTAGGGTCGAAAATGTGGTTATTGTGGCTATTTTCTTCCACAAGAATACAATTTGCTCAATCATTCGTGCTTTCAACCATTTACTGAAGGCGTGGATACGTTGGTAGTAGATGATAATTTCGTAGTCACTGTCTGTAAGTATCGAAAATATCAATACCAAATTACGTTAATCTACTCGAGGCATACGCAAGTTGTACCAAGAAATGTAAAGTTTGCCTGTTCTAAGATTAGTACAGTTCTTTTTATCTTTCACAAAAGGTTTTCAATTGACAAGATGCAATTTGTGTGCACCGATATACTCTGATTGAAAAACAATATTGTTCATACAGTTAATTTATTAATTCAGTATATTAATTTTATAGTGTCAGCACCAGAAGAGCACTATAATAATACTTTGCTCTTGGCGGCATCAAATAGTGAGCAACAGCCTATAAGTAATGACAATGCAGATGAGCAGCAAATTAGCTATGACGAACTGCTTATTACTTGTGTGGCTCAGAAGCCAGCATTATTCGATCATCGAATTCCTGCAAACGAGAGAAGCAATTTAAAAAAAAAAGCATTATGGCAAGAAGTGTCCAACCTAATGGGAGGTAGTAAAAATATTTTGTCCATGCATGCCTGAAGCAAGTGATTGTTGATAATATGCATTAAACTTTTATTTTTATTTTTTTTTGTTTTAGGAGTTTTAAGTGCAATCGAAGCAAAGGATAGATGGAGATATCTCCGAGACTGCTATTCGAAGGCAAAAAAGAAAGAAAACGAGTATATACCAAGTGGGTCTGGTGCAGAACAGCTTTTAAAAAGAAAGAATCCATTTCGATTTAATCAAAAGATGTCGTTTCTCGACGACGTGATGTTAGGAAAGTCTCCGTAAGTTCAATATATAATTATGACCAATTTTGGAAAGGAAGTAGGCTTTGATTTGTTTACATACCCAGCAAACATTTCGGTCACAGAACCATATCCATCTGTGTCCTCAGATACTTTAATGTATTTGTCAACAGAGTTGTTGCGTTTTTTCTCTCTGTGCGCTAACAATTTTAGCAATGTTTCCGTATTGTAGCGTTTCTGCAAACAGTTTCTGTTGCCAACGTCCGCGCCGAAATTGTCAAAAACAGAAATTGTTTGCTGGATATTGAATATGTATATACATATTGCTAGTTCAAACGTAAATGCGTTTGAAAATTTATATAACTATTATAAATTGTAATTGTAGGAATAATCTATAATTTTGAGTTTTAGGACGTGTAGCAGTCTCACTATCAATACAGCAAATACTGATAAGGAAACCAGAAATATTGCAACAAATGAGCCTGCAAAATTAGTGCCAGTTCCATTAGACAGCAGAGGATCTAACGAATCAGACTGTTCAGAAGATGCAATTATCTGTAACTCTGTCAAGAGTATGTTACTACATTAATATAGCATTTATTGGTTTTTATATCAAGTGTTATTTAATTATTTGATTTTTGTTTTCTTTCAGAAAAGAAGTTAGATAAGTCCAAAAACGACCATGACTTTCACGATAGCGTCATTGCAGCACTACGCGATCCGATTAAGGAAACTGATGCAGTTGATGGTTTTTTAATAACACTGGGCGAAGGACTACGAAAACTGCCCTACAAAGAGCGATCTGTAATGCAGATAAAATTTCTGTCGCTGATTATGGAAAAGCAAGAGCAGCTGGAATATCTTTAAGTTCTATTACGCGCGTTCCATTCGTCGTTTCCGCGAGAGGGAGAGTATTTACGTGGTAAATCAATACATAACGAAAATCCTCTCCGGCGCGGATTAAATTATTAATTAAATTAGTTTTAATATTCTTTTTGTTTCCTTGATTTTACGAGCTTGCAAGTTTCACATTTGTGAATGATTTTGCAATTTTCGCACGCGGAGCGCGTCTCTTTGTTATGAAAATCAATTGGCTAGTACGAGAACAAACCCATAGGTAGAACAATATTTGTGAAAACGATCGACCGAACTTGATGCCAAACCATGAGTTGAAATCGTCGCGTATATCCGGGTGTGTTACATTATTACTCGAAGATGGTTTTCGAGAATGAACTGCGTTTGTCATTTTTATATCTATTAAAATATTTTAATAAATTAAAATAAATAAAACTAATAAATTTAAATAATTAAATAAATTGGTATATTTATAAAAATGACACGCGGTTCAAAAACCATAAAACTATCTTCGAATTTTAAAGAATAAAGTTTTATTAATTTTTTTTATGAAGTTTATGTTTATGTTATGTTTATGTTTATGAAGTTTATGTTTATGAAGTTACTTCGTAAATTGATAAGTATTAAATAGATACATGTAATATTAAATTTTATAAATACATGTGATATTAAACTTTATAAAGACTGTAATATTAAACTGTATAAAGAAATAAAGATATTAATTTATTCATACAACTATATACATATGCATATATTTTAGGAACTCATATACTCTTTTTCAAATAGTTCACAAAATAAAAAAGTAATTAAAAATCATTTTGAATTGCTTTTTCCCACTGGTACGACAAGGCTCCAGAATCTTGAAAATATGTTGAATATGCTTCTCTGACTGACATCGCAATGTTATTACTTCGACCTCGATAAACTGGCAGAATAGTAACTCCACTAATGTTTTGTTTGTCTTGTAAAGTTCTATGTATATATGTGTTTTTTTTCGTCATTTTCTTTTCATTTTTAATGATAAAGTTATGCAGAATTAATGTTGCTTTTACAAATTGTTGCACATTTGTGACGGTTGCTATAATTGGCTTCCGATAGATTCTCCATCGTGTAACTAGAATTCCAAAAGCACTTTCCACAACTCGTCTTGCTCGGCTCAATCTGTAATTGAACACTTTTTTTCCAATATTCAATTTTCTGCCTCGTGTATATGGCGTCATCATGTAGGTTGTCAATGGAAATGCTTCATCCGCTATTAAAACATAAGGCAATGCTGGTCCGCCAATTTCAATTTGCCTCGGATTTGGCAGTTTAAATGAGTTGCTTTCAAAACGTTTGCCAATTATGCTGTTACGAAATACTCCTCCGTCACTTTGCCTACCTTCGGCACCAATGTCGACAACTGTAAAGCAATATGTTGCGTCACTTATTCCAAGGAGATTAATACTATGTTGTTTCTTATAATTATAATATGTCGAGCCACTGTTTGCCGGAGCCTATAACAATATAAAAGAATTCTTTTTAATCATTTATATAGAATTATTATTTATATAGAACTATCATTTATATAGAATATCCATGAAAAATCATTTTTCTCTCTCAAGAAAGTTTTTTAAATCTTTTTTATAGAATTTAATATAGTTTGAACATTATAATATAAATGAATTCATAAATATACCTGCTTCGAACATACATACCTGAATATTAACGTGTTTCCCATCAATGGCTCCTATGCAATTTGGAAAGTTCCATAATTCCTCAAAGTCATTGGCTACAGATAGCCAACTCTCTTCATTGTCTGTAAGAAAAACTGTATCTTTCAAACAATTCCATATTGCTTCACATGTCTCCGATACAATTTTGGACACGGTATTATGTCCAATTCTAAAGGCATACGATAGCAACTTCATACTATCTCCTGATGCTAGAAACCGCAGTGTTATTTGTAGTCGAGTTTCAGGTAAAATGGGATCACGAACTACTTGTTCTTTAGTAATGACAGGTCCTACTAACTTCAGTAATTCTTCAAATAATTGAGGTGGCAATCTGAAATAATCTACATACTTTTCAACATCTTGTTCCTGCATTTCTTTTACAAGATTGTTACTTGCTCCTTGCAATAGTCTCCTTTCGGCAACAAATATAGTTCGCACCCAATATCTTCGTTCTTTTTTTTTATTTTCTTCCTTTTTTGAAATTGTATATAAAATGTACAATTTTTCAATTTTCCGGCGTAATTTCTGCTGATAAAATGCATTTTTATTTTTCTTTAATTTTTTACACAGCCCGCATATAACAATACACAATGCTTTCGAGTACATGTTGTCATCGATGACAGATGTCACAGACGTGTCTTTTAGTATCCGCAAAAGTTTCTTTTCTAATGTCCCATTGAGCGGAATTTGCGGATGCGTAATCAACGCTAGCCACTAGCAATCATTATTCCGATAGATCCATTGAAAGTAATCTATGAAAAGGTTCTTACGATTGGTTTGCGTCATATTCCGCAATAACCAATTCCGTTTAATGGGACATAAGGAAACACAGTTTTACAGAACGGAGTTTGCGGAATGTTTATGATTGGCTGGAATGTATTCCGTAAATTGCGCATTACGCATGTTCCGCACCATGTGACTTCTCCCTCAAGCAGTTGTCTTTTATTCCGGTTTTATAGTCGGGATACGTTCTTTTTAGTAATTTATAATCGCCTATTCTTTTCGCTTGCATTAATTCTAAATCGTTAATTGGCATAAAAGTAGTTCTATATAGATCTATGAGTATAAGTCTTTGTGTTGTATCTATGATAGATTGTCTCAGCCAGCCATGTCTCGGTAACGATATTACTTTAGTTAACTCTAAAATTTTATCTTCCGTCAAAAGGATTAACAGTTGTACTAACAATCGTTTTTCAGTTAAGGCTACGGATACATCGCTTACATCTATGAGAGTGGTATAATATGTTTCTTCCAACGGTACTGGAAAATTGTCGATATGTTTATGTTTCCTAAGGACGTCAAAAAGCTTTCTTGGAGATAAGATATATGGCTGAACAGTACCATGTCTCGCGTCAACAATTAGTCTTTCTGATTTTTCTATTTCTCTAATTAATTTTTGCATCTCGTTATTTTAATCAAGTAGGCTTTTATCTATTAAAATATTAAGTTCATTAGCTTGGCTTAAATCTCTAAGTTTGTTAAACTGTTTATTCATATGTTCTATCGAACTGGAGAATTCATTTGCAAGCTCTTTGTCGCCCGCAAAGGTTTTGAGTATAATACTTGTTTGATTCTGAACATATTGTACAAGGCGTCTTTGATTTCTATACAATTTGTCTAACTCTTGATTATAATATGTCGCGTCTGTGTCGTCTAATGTGCCGAAAAGTGTTTTGCTAACCTCGCCTACGAAATCGAAGAGTCCGCGCTTATTTCTTGTTTTCCTTGTTCGAATTCCTGCTAGATATAATACATTTTCTAAATCACTTTCTATTTCGCTTAATTCTATTCGTTGTTTGTAGATTTTACGTCTAGAAGAACAAGTCCAGTTTCGGTTCTGGACAGTATTGATACATTTTCCCGCTAATTGATTATAAGCTGCTTTGAGTTCTAAAAAATGGTTTTCTAGATCGGATAAATCGTATCCTATTATAATCTTCCACTGCTCGTGGTACAATTTTACTTTAGCTAATGTTTCCAAATAGATTACTTCGTTGTCGTCAAGTTGTTTCACCGAATGTTTTTCGTTTTCTCCGTTATTCGGATGACATTGTAGAGCCACTACTAGCAAAATGATCAATCTCGGATTCATCGTCTGGAATAAAGAGTTTAATATCACTTCGGTGATATTGTTTTACTACCGCATTTTCGTTTATATGGTATGTTATATGTCGTGTCGTATCACAGGGAAAGGACCTTTCCACTGTGGTTCGAAAGATTTTGCATTGAAGTTTTTCACTAAAACTAGATCTTTAATTTCAATTGGCGCGTAAGTTTTACTAGAAATATTTGAGTCTTGGTAATCACGTATGCTCTTACGTGCTTCTTCTAGTTTATTCTCATGCTGTAAATGCATGTTATCAATTTGATTTTGGAGAGCCAATCGTTCACTTTCTTCGCTGAAAATGTGATTGGGTTCTCTTCCGAGTTGCAACTCGTAGGGAGTGTAACCCGTAGTTTTGTTTATCGTGCAATTGTACGTAAG